CATGAGGAGTGGCTGATTATATACTTTCAAGGGGAAGTGGTTAGGGAGAGCAAGTCTCCTAGGAATTTTGGAGGCAAGGTTTCCAGGGCCTTTGAGGGAACTAGCTATTGTTAGAAAAGGTCATTTATTATTGTCTAATAAAACCTTAGTCATGAGACCCTTCATATTTTTATCTGTGGGTCATATGCTTAGGGGATGACTGCCAACAAATATCTTGGGAGGTAGAGATAAAGGAAGTTTGCAAAGGTACTCTTTTTTTTTTAATATATATATTTTTTTTACTTATTTGAGAGAGAAAGAGTGACATCACATGAACAGAGGGCTGAGTAGGGAGCCCAATATGGGGCTCAATCCCAGGACTCTGAGATCATGACCTGAGCCGAAGGTAGATGCTTATCCAATTGAGCCACCCAGGTGCCCCGCCAAAAGTATTTTTATATGTTAAAGTAGACTTACAGTATTCTGGGGGTTGGGTTAAGATTACCTTTTGACCTTAGCAAAGTATTAACATTGAGGCAGCTGAGTTCCTAGAAGAATGTCAGCCTGTTTCAAGGACTTGTTAATGGGCTGGCTATAAGTAGTAAGGGAATTTAATGTTTCTTTTGTCTTTGCTTCCCACATAATCTCTCTAGAACTTTGGCTGCAAATAATTCATAGAACTGAATAGCAACAAAATATACACTAACAATTCAATTAAAAATGAGCAGAAAATCTAAGTAGACATTTTTCCAAAGAAGAAATACTGATGGCTAACAGAAACACAAAAAGATGCTCAACATCACTAATCTTCAGGGAAATGCAAATCAAAACCACAATGATACATCAGCTCACACCTTTTAGAATGGCTATCATAAGAAAGAAAGAAAAGAAAAGAAAAAAGAAAAGAAAAGATGAAAGAGAAAGAAAGAAAGAAAGAAAGAAAGAAAGAAAGAAAGAAAGAAAGAAGAAAGAAAAGAAAGAGAAATTGTTGGCAAGGACGTGGAGAAAAGGGAACCCCTGTGCACTGTTGGCCACTATGGGAAACAGTATGGGAGCTCCTCAAAAAATTAAAGATAGAACTACCATATGATCCAGTAATTCCACTTCTGGGTACTTAGCTGAAGAAAACTAACTCAAAAAGATACATGTATCCCCACATCCACTGCAGCATTATTTACAATAGCCAAGATATAGACTAAACAACCTATGTATTTCTGAATGAATGAATGGATAAAAAATATATGATATATAATGAAATATTTTGAAATGTTTTTCAGAAATAAAAATGAAGGAAATCATGCCATTTGTGGCAAAATGGATGGATCTCAAGGGCATTTTGCTCAGTGAAATAAGTCAGACAAAGATAAATGCCATCTGATCTCACTTACATGGGGACTCAAAAACAAAACAAAACCAAGCTCATAGATACACAGAATAGACTGGTGGTTGCCAGAGGCAGGATGGAAGATGGAGAAACTGGTGAAGGGAGTCAAAAGATATAAACTTTGAGTAATAAAATAAATAAATCCTGGGGATGTAATGTGTACAGCATGGTGACTATAGTTATTAGTACTGTATTACATATTTGAAAGTTGCTAAGAGTGTAGATCTCAAAAGTTCTCATCATAAGAAAAAAAAATTGAAACTATGTAAGATGATGGATGTAAACTAGGCTTATTGTGGTAAACATTTTGTAATGTATACAAACATATCATTATGTTGTATACCTGAAACTAATATAATGTTCTATGTCAATTGTATCTTAAGTAAAAAAACAAACAAACAAACAAAACAAAAAAACAGAGGGAAAAAAAAGGAGTAAATTCTTTTCTCAGGTGCTCCAAGGCCTTCCAGAAATACTAGAAATAGGCCCCAGGAGTTCTCCAGGCTTCATGGGAAAAAATAGGAAGTTTGGAAACTGAAAGGAATGCCCAAATAGACACATGGCTAAGTGAGGTAAATTGGAGATGTAAACAAAAGACCAAAGGGGAGGGGGAAGCTACTCTTGCCTGAAAAGGTAAAGGGGAGGGGGAAGCTACTCTTGCCTGAAAAGGTACTCAGTGATAGAGGGGGAATTGATGAATATGAGCCACTAAAAAACATTAGCAGAGGCGTCCATCAACAGACAGATAGAACCAGAGAGAATCAGAGTGAGTTAAAGAACCAACATTTGGTCAATCAAGTAAGATACTCCTCACCTCTAACCTTCCTCCTCCTACCTTGCAATGAAGAAAATCAAAACCAAAAAGTAGTTAGAGCCACAGTTCTCAAACTGTGGCTGAGCTGTCCCAGGTGCCCCAACTACATCACAGAGGTGCTATGGAATATTTTATTTTTAACTTCTATTTATTTATTTTTAAAGTAATCCCCACACCCAACATGGGGCTTGAACTTATGACCCCAAGATCAAGACTGAGCCAGCCAGATGCCCCTGCTATGGAATAGTTTCAATATTTGAAGGAAACAGCAATACTCAAAATCTGTCAGACACTACATGAATCACCAGCTTGAAATATTTTTAAATTTAAAAATCTTTGCAAACCTGGGTTTTTTTCCTGTTGCTGTGTAAAATCAGGGTGGAACAGGAAGTGAGGAGGCACCAAGGGATGCTGCTGAAAAAAACTATTGAGACAATAAAAGCACCATGAGCTGAGAAAGTTTGGGAACCTCTGTGGTATCCCAAGAAAAGAAAATGAGAAATGTGCAACACAGAGCAGACCACACCCACTTCTACTTGAACGTGGGAGAGATGAAAGCAAATTATATCTTCCTCCTATCTCTTAGGTGAAGGCTGATATGAGAAGAGGGTAAAAAGTGAGGCCTGAATATAATTTAGAGTTGATATTTTGAGTCCACTGGGACTATTAACTGAAAATGACTAAGAAATTATGAAATCTGCCTGAGCTATTGACAAGGGAAGGATAAGATATGATGATATCATTAGTAAAATGATATGCTGATCATTTTACTAATGGTGAAAGACATGGACAAAAGCCTACAAAGGATAGTGTTTAAAGTAGCATGCCTTCTCCAATCACAGTTTATCCCTCTACCCTGTCTGTATTTTTTCCCCCAAAAGCACATATTACTCTCCAAAGAAACTTATTTACTTATCTACATGTTATGGTCTATCTTTACTACTAGAATGTAAGTGCCAAGAGAGAAAGAATTATCTTGTTCTTCCTCTCCTCCATTTCCCAACATTGACATGCCCCACAGATCAATACTGGGCCCCTCTCTCCCTGCCTACACTATCTCTCATCCCTTGGTAAATATTATATGTGTTGATGCTGTATGTGCATCCTGTGTTGATATTTCTCTAGAATACTAAATTTACATCCAATTGCCTACTTGAAACATGGATATTGACTAGGTACCTTAAATTTAGTATGTGTTCCTCCCCTTCCCACCCTTCCCTGCAGTCCCTAATCTAGCTACACTTTAGTCCCTCTTCTCATGCTCAAAAAATGGCATCATCATCATCCACCTAGATGGTGAACAGTTTGGGGCTCAAGCTGAAAACCCAGAACTATCCTTAACTACTTTTGTTCATCTACAACTCTATCAATTCTACTTCCCAAATATATTTCAGTTCCAGATTCTTCTCTCTGTATCCACTGTTGCCAAACTATTTCAAGCAATTTTTTTTTTTTTTTCACCTGGGCTATTGTAGTAGCCCAACTGTCTTCTGGCTTCTATTATATTTTTCACACAGCAACCAAAGAGAAATTTTCATATCCAAAATTTAATCATTACACACACACACACACACACACACACCTACTAGAAAAATCTGTCAGTTTCCAATTACTCTCCAGATAAACAAGACTCCAAACAAACATACAGGGCCATCGAGGTCTGGCTCTACATAACTGACATTTTCTCGTTTTCCCATGCTTTTTCTAGTTTTTATTACAGTCTGTCCCTCCCCTGCTTCTCAAACAATGCTCCATGAAAGCTAAAGTTTGATATATTGTTTACAATTATATTTTAAACACCTAATTAAGTAGCAAATAAAGAGCAGGCAGAGACTCCTTAGGTCTCCAGCCCCTGTGCAGAATGTAGCCGACTGAGAATACCTCTCTCTAGAATCCTTAAGGCCCTCACTATACGGAGTGAGGGAGACATTTCTGATTCACTTCTTGGGATGATCTCTGCCTTACTCCATTCAGAAACTAGACAGGATAGTGGATTAAAGTTTAATGCCCAGTTACACTAGCAGGGTGGAATCTCAGCTTTGTCATTTATTAGCTGTGTGACTTATACCTCATTTTACATCAATGTCCTTAAAGTTAAAATGGGAAGGAGTACCTACCCCTTAGGGTCGTTATTAGAATTAAATATATGAAGATCTATCTATCGATCGATTTATCTATATAATTCTTTATTTATATTCATTAGGGTATATCTCCTTAGAGGCCGCCAATTCCGTGAACACTGGCCCGAGCCTATTTGACCGCTATATGCACGATGATTCAAGAAAACAAAACACATTTCTTAACTTTTTGTTCCTTAAACTAAGTTCGCCCACCTACGTGCACCTTACTGAGTCGAAGAATTTCCTATCTTTAGGTTTCACCATCCCAAGACTGTAAGCACACACCGCTTAGCTTAATCCCACACCAAGTCCTCCTTCCCAGCCTGCCAGTCAAATGAGCTTTCGCAATTGGCGGGGTAACAGGACCCTAGTGAGCTCAGCTCCAGACCGGGCGGGCGCCACGCCCAGACTCGCTCCCGGCTGGCACAGGCGCAGCAGTGGTGTCTTCTGTCCTTGGGTTTATAGCCTTTTTCTTCACGTGGCTGAGGCCCCTTATTCCTTCTTTGACAACTTTTTAAATGCTCGCGCTTCTCCATGGAAATTTGTTTTTAATACCTTCAGCAGCTGCCCGGAATTTAAAAATCACTTTGCTCTTCCACCGCTGTGGAACCTAGTCGTTCCGTTTGAGGAACCGGTCTCTGAATAGGAGTCCGCCGTTCCAGGCGCAAATCTCGCGAGAAGGTGACCATCTATCGCGGTACTTCCTTGTTTCCAGAATCCTTAGCGCGAGGCGGAAAAATACTCGTTTATGTTCAGCTTCTGTTGATTAGCGCACTTTCACTGCGTGCTCGTTTTTCGCCTTCGTTGTTGCGGTTTCTCCAAGGGAAATGGCGGCCCCCGAGCAGCCGCTACCGCCGATGTCAAGAGGATGCCAGAGCTCTGCCTCGCTCTCCCCGCCGCGGGGCGACCGAACCCTTCTAGTGAGGCACCTGCCAGCCGAGCTGACCGCCGAAGAGAAAGAGGATTTGCTGAAATATTTCGGGGCGCAGTCGGTGCGCGTCCTGTCAGATAAGGGACGACTGGTAAGGGCGCGCCCGTCTGAAGCCGCCAGGGAAGGCCCTTGGGTAGTGACTCAGGGTGGGGGAAGCTTTGACGGAAGGAAGTAGAAGAGAGTGGGAAAATGCGCTGTGTAGTGGGGTCTTCCCTGTCTTCTCTCTTTTACGTCAAAATGTTTTGCGTACCAAGTGAAGTTTTAAATGTCTCGAGCCTGTGTTAGTCACAGCGCTGTCGAAAAGAGCAGTGAAAAAGTCAAGGCAGAAGAATGGAAAATAGCTTACATCCGTTTTTCTGACCTATCTTGAGAATCTCAGAATAAACTCCTCGGAATTTGAGAGCATTTCTTTTAGACTCAGAGTACTCTCAGATATGAAGTACAAAGGACTTCTAAAAAATGTTTGGTTATTTATAAGCCACAGTTAAGACATTCATTAAAATAGAGGAGAAAGTACAGTAGTAACTTCAGTAAACCAGTTACAGAATTTCTACCAGATTTTTTAGGAAAAAATTCTTAATAAAAATTTTTCTGACGGAATCCGTTGGAATAATATTTTTAAGACTATTAAAGGTTTCTACACAGGAGAAAAAAGTTTCTACACAAGAATTTACCCAATTATTTCATTTGCTTTTGTACCTGAAGATGTTTTAGATGGATTTCTCTCCGTTAAAATAGTAATGGTGAAGTTTCTGCAAGATGGTCTGTGATTCGGCCATATATCAGTGGTTTTAGTCTCCTCACATGATTCTAATATGCAACCAGGGTTGAGAAGTACTGAGACGACTGACCAATTTTGATCAAAGTGTCACCTTACCGGCAAATACAAATACTCTATGTGATTAGTTTAAGTATTCTTAATTAGATCATCTTGGATCAGATTAGACAAAATTAGAATATGTTACATAAATACTCAAGCAACTTGTAAATGCTTTAATAAGCACTGTTAAGAACAGATAGGAACATTATCCGTGGTAATGATTCATTTACTTTTTTTTTCTGATAGTTTTTAAACTACTTACAGTTTATATTTTAAAATAGACTTCTCCCATTGAACCCTTATTACAAGGATAAAGCACAAAGGAACCATGCACTTGAGGAATGATTTTCTGTTGGTAAACATTTTTAAACTTTGTATTTGGCTGTATAGAGGAAAGTTGAAGATTTTTAGATGTATTATAAACTGAAGATACTTGAAGGGTTGTCCTTTAGTAGAGTAGGGGTTTTAAACTTCTGGTCTGTTGAACTGTTTGAAAGTGTATGTAAAACATGCTGTAGATGTGTGTACACCTTTACATAAAAGGCTACATAGCTGTCATAGCTGTCATCTCAAGGAACTCTGATCCAAAAAAGATTCAGAACCACAGTGCTGAAATGAATAAACAGTTAAATGATCTCGATTTTCCATCCTTTTCTGTGACCTTATTAATTTGTGAAATAACTGTCAGCTGGTAAAGTCATACTTCTTACGAAAAACAAATTGTTTAGAAATAATTTGTACCTTAATTCTTTTTCAGAAACATACAGCTTTTGCTACTTTCCCTAATGAAAAAGCAGCTATAAAGGTACGACTTTTTTTAACTATGAAAGTTACCAGCAATTTCCTATTAACTAATCTTCGTTCAAAAGTGGAACATAATGTTGAACTACAGTTTTCAAAAACAAAAGCACCTGTATTTCAAGAGTTTACCCCACAGACTGCATTTGGTTTATCAGTTGGCAAATCTTCCCCAAAGTTGAGGTATTTGGGCATAAGAATAGATTAACTGGAGGGGCACCTGGGTGGCTCAGATGGTTAAGCGTCTGCCTTCGGCTCAGGTCATGATCCTGGGGTCTTGGGATCAAGCCCCACATCGGGCTCCCTGCTGAGCGGGGGGCCTGCTCCTCCCTCTCCTTCTGTCTGCCACTCCCCCGCTTGTACTCTCTCTCTCTCTAATAAAAAATAAAAAATCTTAAAAAAAAAAAAAGGATAGGTTAACTGGAAAGCAAATTAAAATTGAATTGTAATTTATATGTAATTAAAAATAAGTTGTAAAGAATGCAAAGACTGATAACGCTCACTGTGGCAAGACAAGATGTTGTATTAAAGGGAAAATACATATATTAAAAAACAAATCCTAGAGATGCATTCACGAAGGAGGTGACCTTTGAGGTAGACCTTTAATAATTGGGTTTTGAGAAGAAAAAGGGACATGGGCCTTTCAGGTTGGGAGAACACTAAGTGAAGCTATAGGCCATAGAAAGTTGTAGGTAGAGCAAAACTAAAGGTTAAGATGGAAATAGGACTTGGAAAATAGGTTGAGTCTAAATTTGGGTGGGAGGGAGGGAGGGATTGAATTTTGTTCAGTAGATACTACTTCTGGCATGATACTTTTGAGCTGCGCAATAATGTGGTCAGGTCTGTGAAAGATCTGGTAGTGTTCATGTAATGCATTAGATGTGGACAAGATTAGTGGTAAGAAAACCAAGTGGAAAGTCAAGACGAGAAATGTTGTAATGGCCAATGCAAGATAAAGGATCCAAATAAGTCTAGAAAAAAACAAAGGAAAAAGTAGGTATATACTCAATAAAGATTGAGTTTGTAGGTCTTATGATCCCTATAGATATAGAGGTTAAGAAAGGGAATATTTGGAGATTTTTGGACTGAGGTATTGGGTTATTACATTAGATGACATTAAGGGCAGGATTCAGAGGATGTTTGCAAAGGTAATGAATTCCCACTGTTACCTATTAATTTGAAGAGTTGTTGAGCTACTTCTATGGAAATTTTTTTAAGATTTTTAATTTATTTGAGAGAGAGAGCATGAACAGGGGGAGGGGCAGGAGGAGGGAGAAGCAGATTCCCTGCTGGGTGGGGAACCCTATCCGGGACTTGATTCCAGTACCCTGAGATCATGACCTGAGCCGAAGTCAGGCGCTTAACCAACTGAGCCACCCAGGTGCCCTGGAAATATTTTTAATATAGTTAAAAATATGGCTCTAGAGCTGAGACAGGGTCAAAAATGGAGTTTCTTGAATCAGGTGAATGGATATGGTTGCCTAAAGGAAAGTACAAGCCAGGAAAGAATGGGAGGGAGAAGTTAAAAAGGAAGTAGAACTAGAAAAGAAATTATCTTTCTTCATTGCAAAGAGAAGAAAGTTTAAGAAGATGAGATTCTGTGATGACACAAAATGAGGAATGAAGTCTTAGTAAAGGTTTTTTTTTATTGTGAAACAATAAAAATCATCCAAATTCTCATCAGTAGGAGGAAAGGACACCTTATAGTATATCGGTAGGCTGGACTACTGTCAAAGAATAAGGTCAAATATTAGTAAGGAATGTGGCTAGATAGAGTACATGAATAAAGTTGGCAGACATTATGAGATGTTGGATTTTTAGAAATCCAATAGTACATATGTTTATGCATAGGGAGAAAAATGTGGCAAAGCTGTACACCAAATCGTTAATAAATGTCTTCTGTCAAGGTGGGATTATAGAAGACTTTCACATTATATGTATTTTTTAATGTATAGGATTTTTTTTTCTCAGAAAAGATTCTTGTAAATATTATGTAAGGTATTACAAATAAAATATGGTAATGAAACCCGCATTGTTTTATGGTCAAGATTAACCTAGAGACGAGGACGTGGAGCCAGTCAATGTCTTTGGGAAATATTTGTAGTAGAGAAGGAATGAGAAGATAATAGCATCGGTATGGCTTTTAGGCTACAGTGCACGTGACTGATAGATTTTTATTATTTTTATTTATTTTTTTTAAAGATTTTATTTATTTATTTGAGAGAGAGAGAATGAGAGACAGAGAGCATGAGAGGGAGGAGGGTCAGAGGGAGAAGCAGACTCCCCGCTGAGCGGGGAGCCCGATGCGGGACCCGATCCCGGGACTCCAGGATCATGACCTGAGCCGAAGGCAGTGGCTTAACCAACTGAGCCACCCAGGCGCCCGACTGATAGATTTTTAAAAAACAAGGGTAAAGAAATGTTTGAGAATAAAGTAAGTAGCTGAGCGAGGTGGGGAAATTAGTTAACATTAAAAGTGAAAAACTGTATATTCTTGAAGAGAATAGACGTGATGTCCATTTTGCCAAGAAGAAAGTTGAAGCAGTTGAGCTTAGATGCCCTGTATTTCAGACAATCAAAGGTTCACTGATAATGAGGAGGTTTAGAATTGATTTAGGGGCTTGAAAATTATTGAAACATTTGAAAATGAAAGAGTCAAATAAGGATGCATAAAGATGGTAAGATAAAATTGTAGTCCTAATTAAGGCTTACAGGTCTATTTGTTCAAAAATATTACTTGCTTACAAGGTGGTAGATGCTGCTTTAGTCTTGGGATAAATCAGTGAATAAAATATTTACAAAAAAAAAAAAAAATAAGGAAATAGGGCACCTGGGTGGCTCATTCGTTAAGTGTCTGCCTTTGGCTCAGGTCATGATCCCAGGGTCCTGGGATCGAGCCCCGCATCGGGCTCCCTGCTCAGCGGGAAGCTTGCTTCTCCCTCTCCAACTCCGCCTGCTTGTGTTCCCTCTCTCGCTGTGTCTCTCTCTGTCAAGTAAATAAAAAAATCTTAAAAAAATAAGGAAATAAAGACTTAATGTCCTCATTGGGGCTCATGTTCTCAAAAGGGGAGGCAGATTATAAATAATAAACTTAATATTTTAGGAAATGATAAATGCTATGGAATAAAAAGGAAAAAGAGCAATACGATCAAGAGTGCAAGATGGGGATGGTTGCAGTTAAGATGATTAGGGTCATATTTGAGTAATAATTTGAAGGAGGTGAAATTAGCTAAGGGAATATCTGGGGAAAGTACATTCCAGTCAGAGTAATGGCTGGAAAAGGGCACTAGTGTAGGAGAATGCCTGTCATGTTGAAGTAAGCTAGAATGGCTGAAGCAGACAGAATGAGGGGAATGTAATTAGAATTTAAGGTCAGAGAAGTACTAGATGCCATATCATGTAGGTACTCTAAAGATCCTGGATTTTACTCTGAGTAAAATGGGGAGCTGTTGGAGTATTTTGAGCAAAGCTGTAACATACTCTAACTTACATCTTTAAAAGGATTTGTTAGGAAGAGATGGGAGGCAGGAAGAGTAGAAACAGGGAAATCTGTAAAAAGGTTATGGTGGTAATTTAGCTCAAAGATGATAGCTGTTTGGACCAAGGCGGTAAGAAGTGGTTAGAGTCTGGATATATTTTGAAGGTAGAAGCAAACAAAATTTCTTGATGGCTTGGATATGCAACGTGGGGAAGAAGTCTTGCAGATGATTCCAATATTTTTGATATGAGTAAGTGGAAGAATGGGGTTATCATCAACTGAAATGTGAAAGGCTCCACATAGAAAACATTTGGGGGGGTGAGGATAGAATATCAGTGGTTCAATTTCTGAAGTGTCAGTTTTGAGATATTAGACACTTAAGGAGAGTTGTCTGGTGGTTTGGGTATGTTTTCTTGGACTTTGGAACAGGCTTGGGCTGAGGTTATAAATTGGGGAATTACTAGCATAGTGATGGGATTTAAACTTAGGATGGTGATTGGATCACTAAGATAGTAGCTCAAAAGAGGACCAGTAATAGAACTCTGGAGTATGCCAGCATTTAGAGTTGAAAAGGCACAAGCCAAGAGATTAAGGAGTAGAAACCAGTGAGCTAGGAAGAAAACTACGAGAAAGTAGGATTTTTTTTTTTTTTTAAAGTAATGATGTTTTAACATCAAGTGAAGAACATGTATCAAGGAGGGAGTGATCAACTGTGTTAAATGCAATAAAATGAAGACTGGAAGTAGACCATTGGTTTGGCAGTACAGAATTCGTTGTCTTTGAGTTGGAGACTGGATAGGAGGAGAGGAATTGTAGGTAAAGGGCTTAGATAATTTTTTTTTTATATTTATTTATTTGAGAGCGAGAGAGAGAGAGCGTATGCGGGAGAGCACAAGCAGTGGAGAGGGAGAAGCACGCTCCCATCTAGCAGGGAGCCCAATGCGTGGCTCGATCCCAGGACCCCGGGATCATGACCTGAGCCAAAGGCAGCTGCTTAGCAGACAGCCACCCAGGCACCCTGGCTTAGATAAATAAATCTTTTTTTTTTTTTTTAAAGATTTTATTTATTCATTTGAGACAAAGAGGTACAGAGAGAGAGAGAGCATGAGCAGGGAGAGAGGCAGAGGGAGAGGGAGAAGCAGGCTCCCTGCTGAGCCAGGAGCCCGATGTGGGCCTCAGTCCCAGGACCCTGGGATCATGACCTGGACCGAAGGCAGACGCTTAACCATCTGAGCCACCCAGGTGCCCCTAGATAAATAAATCTTAAGGAGTTTTACTGTAGCTGTAATTAAAGGGGGGTGAGGGGAGTAAAGTGGGATTAATACGAATTAAGAACAAATTAGGATGGGAGAAGTAAAAGCATATTTGTGTGCTAATATGGATGATTCAGTACAGGACAGAAAATTAGCAATGTAGTTAAGAACACTCCCCATACAGAGTAGAAGAGAGACTGTTGAGTAGATGAGAGGGTGGGATTTAGTATACAAGTCAAGTAACTGAATTTAAATAAAAACATGGATAATATAAGAAAAGGTAGAATATATGGATTCATTAGCTGGTAGATAGGAATTATGGTGGGAATTTGAAGTTCTCATTTGGTTGTTTTGATTTTCCCAAAGTGGGAAGCAAAGTCCTAAGCTAAAAGAATGGGAAAGGAATGTTGTGAGGTTGAGGAGCAAGGAGGAAGTACAAAATTGTGTCTTAGAGATTAGAAAAAATGAACTAAAAATGTGATAAGTGTGGCATCAAGTTTCACCCCCAGATTTTGCGGTTGTGGTCATGAGCTTAAAGTGAGTCGAGGTTGATTATGTTTGTTTTCTAACCATTTTCAGCTGCCTAGGTATAGGGATATTTGGATTTAACGAGACTTTTGGTTTTACTAAGTGATAGGAAGCAGTCTCTTAATAAATGACAAAGACTAAGCACCCTCAGATTGGAAATGGGTAAGAAATAGCCAGGGAAATATTAGCAGCATTCACAAAGATCATGATAAACTCCAAATAAACTATTTGGAGATGTTCTCTAATAAACAACTTTTGATGCAATTATCAAATATTTTACTCTTGTTTTTCCAACTGAAGGCATTGACAAGACTACATCAGCTGAAACTTTTAGGTCATACTTTAGTTGTTGAATTTGCAAAAGAGCAAGATCGAGTTCATTCCCCCTGTCCCCCTTCAGACCCTGAAAAAAAGAAAAGGTATGTAGATCGTTAGGTTTTCCTAACATTTTAAAGTGTTTTTTAATCAATTATATTGCTGTTGGGTTGTTTTCAGACTAGCAAGTAAATAATTTGACATAATAAATGATACATGTCTCTTTTGAATCTAGTACATTACATTTATTTTTGTTCTTATTGTGCATTAGGAATCTGAGTGTTGATTTAATATTGAGAACTAATCAGTGTGAAGTGGGAAGAGGGTGGGGTGAAAAGCATTCAGCTTTAAGTGGAGGAACATAACTAGTATAAAATCCTTGTTGTATTACAGATAGCAGGGTGTCATGGATAGGCATGGCCTTTGAAATCAGAGACTGGTATTTGGTTCCCAGCAGTAACTCTTTGTAGTTATAAAACCTTTACAGATTTGCCTTACAATAGTGGTTCTCAGAGTAGTCCCTGGGCCAGTGGCATCATCTAGGATCTTGATTGGAATACAGATTCTTGGGCCTTACCCTAATCCTACTGAATTTGAAATTTGGGGGTTGGGAAGGGGAATATAAGGCCCAGCAGTCTGAGTTTTAACAAACCCTCAATTTTTTACTCTATTTCTAAAAATAAGATCAACTTTGATTCTGTATTTTGTAGATCTGATGACCCTGTGGAAGATGATAAAGAAAAGAAAGAACTTGGTTGTTTAACCATAGAAAATGGAATTGCACCAAACCATGGGTTAGTGTTTTTTGTTTGTGTTTTGTTGTTTTTTGGTTTTGTTGTTTGTGTGTGTGTGTGTGTTACAAGTAAGATTTTAAAGGATTGTGTCAAGTCAATATGTTGGTTAAACATGTTGAGGTATTAGAGTTTGTCACTGAATTTGGGTCCATTAAAATGTTAAGAGCTATAAAATAAGCTCTGGTAAGAAATACCGTATTTTTCTTCAGTGCAATCAGAAAACAAGTTTCCTTTTTTTTCTTTTTTAAAGATTTTATTTATTTGAGAGAGAGCGTACGCACGAGAATGAGCAGGGAGGAGGGGTCGGGGGGAGAGGGGTGCCGCTAAGCAGGGAGCCCAGTGGCCCAAAAGTCATTCAGAATGACCCTGAGATCATGACCTGAACCAAAGGCAGACACTTAACCAGCTGAGCCACCCAGGTACCCCAAAGCAAGTTTCTTCTTAAATGTACTTATTTGGGATTATAAGGAACAAGGTAAATCTAAAAGTACTGAATTATTTGAGCAATTATGTACTTCATCAGGTTACCTAAAAATGCATTATTGATATGAAACTTAGTAAAAGATGATAAGCATTTTAAATATATTTTTTAGGCTGACATTTCCTCTGAATTCATGCCTCAAGTATATGTATCCACCACCTTCAAGCACAATCCTAGCAAACATAGTAAATGCTTTGGCAAGTGTGCCTAAGTTCTATGTACAGGTAAGTAGAATGAAACTTAACTTTCCCAAAATAAATGCTTGAATAACTTGGTAAGTTATTTTCCATGCTACTTTTTATACTTTTCGTAATAGCATTAATCAGACTAATTCTAACAGGCAATGATATTACAGTTATTTAAAGGTGTCTTCTCAGTTTGGGCTGCTGTAACTAAGTACCATAGACTGGGTGGCTCATAAACAACAGAAAATTATTTCTTAACAGTGCTGGAGATTGGAACTCCGAGATTAGGGTGCCAGCAGGGTTGAGTTCTGGTAAGGGCCCTCTCCTGGGTTGCAAATGGCTATTTTCTCTTTGTATCTTCACCTAGTGAAAAAAGGAGAGAGAGCTCTCTGGGGTCCCTTTTATAAGGAACACTAATTTCATTCATGGACATCTACCCTTATGACCTAATTACTTCCCAAAGACCCTACCTCCTGATATCATCACATTGAGGGTTAGGATTTAGTATATGTATGTAGGTGGTGGTTAAGTCCATTGCAAAACATAATGAAATATTACTACATTCAAGTAAAGGTTTTTGTAGACTATGGCTTAAACTTATTAATGTGTTTAGTATTAATACTAATAAGCATAAGATAATTTGGGAAATATAACTTCCGGAATTTTTGTTACTTGAGCATATACCTTTAATGTGGAGATTTTTTTCTTAAAGGAAAAAACATAGTGGACCCCTCAGCAAATGTTTGAAAGTATTGACAGTAGTACGATACTTTTAAGGACAAGTTATAGATATTTATTTTCTTTAATGTACTTTTTGTTTCATAATTCCACAGTAATGGGGGGAAAGATATAACATTTTGGTAGCACTTACATTGCAAGAACATGGTATTTTTAATAATGAGAATAATGAGTATTTGTAAAATTGACATACATTTTAGGAAGGGTAATCTTCTGAGATATATCAGTGGCTGGTAATAGCCCTATTCTGGGATAAAGCAAGAAGTGGCCAGCCTTTGCACTAAATCAGGAGTGTTATTTCAGAGTTTTAAAGTACATAAAATACAAGATGTGAGTTGAATTATCATTTTACTATGTGATTTTCAATGTTTTGCTACGTTAAGGTGCTTCATCTTATGAATAAAATGAATTTGCCCACACCTTTTGGACCAATTACTGCACGACCTCCCATGGTAAGAAATATCTTAGAATTTTAAAGATTCATGGGGCACCTGGGTGGTGCAGTTGGTTGAATATCTGATGCTTGGTTTCAGCTGGGGTCGTGATCTCAGGGTCATGGGATCGAGCCATTTGTTGGGCTCTGTGCTCAGTGCAGAGTCTGTTTAAGACTCCCTCTCCCTCTCTCCCCCATAAATAAATAAATAAATCTTTTTTTTTTTTAAGATTTTATTTATTTATATGTCAGAGAGATAGAGATAGATAGGGAGAGCACAAGCAGGGGGAGTGGCAGGCAGAAGGAGAAGTAGGCTTCCCACTGAGCAAGGAGCCCAATGCATGACTCGATCCCAGGACCCCGGGATCATGACCTGAGCCGAAGGCGAATGCTTAACCGACTGAACCACCAGACGTCTCAATAAATAAATCTTTAAAAAAAAAAAAAAGAATTTTGAAGATTCACAACTTCTCTTCCTGAGGTGGGATTATTGAGGCTAACCTTCACAAATATTGCACCACTAACCTCTAATGTGCATTGAAATTAAGGGACAAATATAAAGTTAATATGCTAGTAAGAATTAAGTGGAGAACTATGAATAGGAGAAAGCCAGAACGTGAAAGAGATGCTTTTGGTAATAGAGGCCCTCATTTCTGCCAGTGTTGTTCAGTCCTTTGACCCAGAATGTTCTGCCATTTTATAAAATAATTGCACTCAACAAAATTATGTAAAATTTCCATTGTTCTGGTTTTATTGCATATAGAGCTTCATTTGCAGAAGAAAGGTTGCTAATAATTTTTATTCAAATCTACTGTGCAAATCTATCTGTAACTTAGTCTTATGTCTGCTATTGAATCATTCTAGTTACTATTTTGTTACAGTACTTAGTACTTGTTTCGATAATAGCAATGAGAAATTATTTTGAGTCCTAACATTTAAATCGAAAATTTGCTTTTTTGTTGTGTATTGCATATTGGCTGCTTTTCTGACGTATATACTATTAGCTTCATAATTTTCCTTTGTAATCCCAGCACTTCAATGTCTGGCACATTGCAGGAATATCTTTTAAGATAAGCTAACTGCTATTAACATAAAACAAATCTTAGTCACTTAACCAGCATAAGTTATTTCTTTTTTTTTTTTTTAAAGATTTATTTATTTATTTATTTGAGAGAGAGCATGAGATACAGAGAGAGCACGAGAGGGAAGAGGGTCAGAGGGAGAAGCAGACTCCCTGCTGAGCAGGGAGCCCGATGCGGGACTCGATCCCGGGACTCCAGGATCATGACCTGAGCCGAAGGCAGTCGCTTAACCAACTGAGCCACCCACGCGCCCGCGTTAAGTTATTTCTTGTGCATGTCAAGTGCATTCCAAAAGTAGGGCAGAATGATGTTCTGTTCTAGGCATTCAAAGACCTTACTTGTCTTCACTATGTGCGTTCCCAGATCAATGAGGGCATTACCATACATCCTGCAGATTAAGAAGGAAGAGATTATGGGTGGATTTTTTTTATGCTAGCATTCTTTTGGCTAAAATTCAGTTACATGATTAAATCCAACTGTAAAGGAGGTTTGGAAATTTACTCCAGCTAGGTGCCAAGGAAGAAGAAACAAGTTTTGTGATCAACTAGCAGTCTTCTGTAGCAGGTGTTCCCTCAATACGTGTTGAATGTGTAAAAGAATATCATGAGGGAGAGAGATGAGAATAATGTACCTGAATGGAATTTTTTTTTTGTTCTATAAATATCATAGATTACCATATGATTACCGTTTTTCTCTTAATTAGTATGAAGATTATATGCCATTACATGCACCTCTTCCACCTGCATCTCCTCAGCCACCAGAGGAACCTCCTTTGCCAGATGAGGATGAGGAATTATCAAGTATAGAATCAGAATACGAAAGCAGTGATGATGAAGACCGACAAAGGTTTGTAATATCAAATAATATTTGTTTAGATTTCAAGAACAGAATATGAGACAGATTCTTTTGCTCTTCTTAAATTTTACCTGTAATTCTTCATAATTTGGAGTCATTAAAATTTGTCCCCAACCCCCCAACCCTTCAAGCATATGTAATAGGTATAGGTTAAGATCTGAGACTATATATCCAGACTTAAGCAAAAGTTTTTGATTATGAGTAATTTTTTAAATCAATGTATGTATTATGAAGTGCAGTTGGTCCTTGTTATTTGTGGATTATGTATTTGAGAATTTGCCCACATGCTAAAATTTATTTGTAATCCCCAAATCAATACTTAAGTGATTTTATGGTCTTTTGCCAATATGGGCATGCACAGAATGGTGAAAAATTTGAGTTGCTTGACGTGCACATTCCTAGATGAGGTAGAACAGGGTGACATGCTGTCTTCTCACTTCATCTCCAATACTGTAAACAAGTATCCTTTTTGTGGTCTATTTAGTACCAAGCCTTTCACATTTTTTAGGATTGTTGGTGATTTTGCTGTTTAAATTGGTCCCCAAGTATAGTGTTGAGGTGCTGTCTAATGTTTCCAAAATCAAGAAGGCTGTGATGTTCCTAATGGAGAAAACATGTTAGATAAGCCTTGTTCAGGGTTGAATTATAGTGCTGTTGACTCTAAATTCAATGTTAGTGAATCAACAATATATAAAATAAGGTGTCCTTAAATAAAAACACACCGTGAAACAAGGTGTGTATTGATCACTTGGTGAAATGCTAGAGTATAGGCTTGCAGGAACCCAATCCTGACTTTCCTGGAGGGGCATTGATTCATTATTCACTAATTCTTTGTGGAGACTTTGTAAAACTTAACTCTCTCAAATAACAAGAATAAGAATATAAATCGATTGTATTTGTTTTTTTTCAGCTTATTCCCCTGAATTTTATTCTCCTCAGAATAAATTTCTAGAGCATTTCTGTGGGATTTTATACAAAACAATTCGTAGTAACTAATGCAGATGAATTTTTTTTTTTTTTTAATTGGTTGTTCTTGACAACCCACATATATTTTATTTAAAGATTCTGGTGAAAAGCAGTAAATTGTTAATGTTCAGGTGTATAATCCACAGCATAGCCTAGAACAGGAATTGCTAAACATTTTCTGTATAGGGCTAAGAGTTCTGTTGTAGTAGGAAAGCAGTCATAGTAATACCTAAATGAGTGGATGTGGCTGTGTTCCAGCAAACTTTCTGATTATGGAAAGAGGCAGCTAGCTGAATTTGGTCCCAGGGCTATAATTTGCCAACCTCTAGCCTAGAAGACCACTATGGGTATATGATGGGAATCTTTTATTTTATTTATTAATTTTTTTAAGATTTTTTTATTTTAAGTAATTGTTAGACCCAGTGTGGGGCTCAAACTCACAACCCCAAGGTCCAGAGTCACATGCTCCACCAACTGAGCCAGCCAGGTGCCCCAAATGATGAGAATCTTAGGTAACTGTGTATAGAAGTCAGATACAGGAGGGGTTGACATGAGTCAAAACCCAAGTAGAGGGGCGCCTGGGTGGCTCAGTTGTTAAGCATCTGCCTTCGGCTCAGGTCATGATCCCAGGGTCCTGGGATGGAGCCCTGCATCTGACTCCCTGCTCGCCAGGAAGCCTGCTTTTTCCTCTCCCACTCCCCTTGCTTGTGTTCCCTCTCTTGCTGTGTCTCTCTGTCAAAAAATAATAAAAATCTTAAAAAAAAAACTCAAGTAGAGACTCCAGGCAATATTTACAAATAATCAACAACAATAGTACTATTATTGAGTAAATGTTAACTTAAGTAGTCTCTCAATGTGCATTCTTTCTAGAGAAAGAGTTAAAATAAAAATTATGTAGAGCCAAAACTAGAAAAATGGGGTGTCTTGAATAGAGACATTTAGGAAGGCTGGCAGTTCTTTTTTTTTTTTTTTAAGATTTTATTTATTTATTTGACAGAGAGAGATAGAGCACAAGCAGGGTGAGCAGCAGGCAGAGGAAAAGGGAGAAGCAGGCTGTCCGCTGAGCAGGGAGCCCGAAGCGGGACTCGATCCCAGGACCGTGGGATCATGACCTGAGCTGAAGGCAGCCACTTAACCGACCGAGCCACTCAGGTGCCTGGAAGGCTGGCAGTTCTTGATAGACTAACTTGTTCCCAAATAAAGAACAGTATAAAGTGTTGCGTTGGGTTCATTACATAACCTATGTACATTTTACTTTCTTTATAAAAATAGTGATAGTAATTTCAGGAATGCTTTATGCAGGTTGGCCAAAACCTTTTTTTGTTTTTTTTTATTTTGGTTTCTATTTAGGGATGTAGTGAGGAATTCTGCAAGTAATTCATCTTGAGTAATGAGAATAAAGTCTTTGCAAGAAACAATGTTTCATGCTTTTCTGTCTTTTGGAAATGTAAACAAAAACAAAAAAACCATACTATTTAGCAAATATTTATTGATTACCTAATTTATGCCTGGCACTTTTGAGAGGCTTAGTCTATTTTGGGTGAGCAATTTGAGAAAGATGTTTTGTGTAACTGGATTTATTCATAAAATTTTGGGCAAACTTTGTTAAGAGGCTTTACAAATGTATAGCATGTGTTTATTACATTTTTCATTACTTAGTTTAAAGCTTATTTTAACCACATTCATATGTTTGCATTTTTCCTCACTTGGTTTAAAGCTTATTTTAACCACATTCTCCTTTCTTGCATTTTGTGCGCATGTTTATTTTGCTTTCAAATTTCACAAATGTAACTAGAAATAGAGCTGTGACTAGTGGTTGTGAGTTTCTGCTCTGTGGAAACACTGTGTCTGATTCTGTGGAAGATACAAAAATGCCTAGACAGGATCTGTTTGAAATATTACACTCATAATGAAGATAAACTGGGTACAATGTATCAATTATCACACCTTGATAGTTTCTTATAAAAAGCCACTTCAAAGTATAGTATTGAAAACTTTGTCCTCAAGTAAATCTTGTTTATATAATGATTCATGTGTAACGATTTTGAAAATGCTTTAAAATAAAAATAACTTTAGTTTAGACTCTTTAATTAGAATAAGAATTAAAATAGTTATACTGTATTTATAAGGTCTTTTTGAATATTAGTCAAAAAAAGGAATAAAGTTACATAGGTTGTATTACTGTATCCTGTTCAACTTTCTGGTATCAAGTGCAGCCATTTTATTTGGACAACTAATAATTTTCATAATAAAACATACCTTTAAAAGGTAAATTGAGGGGCACCTGGGTGGCTCAGTCAGTTGAGCATCCGACTCTTGATTTCTGCTCATGACATGCATGATCTCAGGGTTGAGAGATAGTCTCAAATTAGGCTCTATGCTCAGCAGGGAGGCTGCTTAAGATTCCCTCTCCCCCTCTCCCTCTGCCCCCACCGCTTGTCCGTGTGCATACACACGCACACACACTCTCTCTCTCTCTCTCTCTCAAATAAGTAAATTCACAGTTCCTTTAAAGTGAGATGAAAGTTGACCAAGGAAATTTAGAACTTGACCTTATTTAAAATTATCTTAATTGATGGCTTAGAAACTCTACTTCTGCTATATAGATCATAATTTATAATATAACATGTATAATTTACAGTTTATATTATATGCTTATACATGAATAATTCTTTACTCTTTTCATAACGTAGAATGACCAAACTAATGGAACTAGCAAATCTTCAGCCCAAAAGGCCAAAAACAACAAAGCAGCACCACGTGAGAAAAAAGCAAAAAATAAAGGATATGTTGAAAACACCTTCATCTGCTCCACATAGGTAATTTTGTTTTGGATTATGAAATAAGGGTTTTCTGTGTACTTTGTCTACTTGCTTAAACCATGTCATTTATAAACAATTCTGGCAGACATTTTACCTGCCTGTTTGCCATGGGATTCTATATATTTTAATATATTAATCACATAAAATTAATTGGAATTTTAATTTCATTTAGCTATTCTACAATGTAAATTTCCCTTGAAGTTGTAAGTAACTTCAAAAATTAAGAAAGGAGTTTGTTAGAAATCTTTTTTCCATTTTGAAGGAATAAGTCCTAATCTGTGTTTTTTTTTTTTTTTTAATTTCACATTAAGTATAAATATGATGTATGTTTCTCACTGATGTGTTTCTCACCTACGTATGTCTTGATACCACGTCACATGCTTTTAATCTCTATCGCAGCACTAAACAATTAAAGATAAGTAACGTGAACCAAATTCAGTTTTCCAGTAGCCACATTAAAGGATTAAAAAGCTGATGAAATTAATTTTGATAATTATTTCATTTAACCCATTATATCCAAAATATTATTTCAGCATATAATTAATACAAAGTTGTCATAGTGTGGTGTGTATTTTATATATTTATATTTTAATTTGGGCAGCAATATTTCAAATGCTCATTAGGACACGTGGCTAGTGGCAATTCTATTGGACAGCATAGCTTTATTTATGTATGTAGAATACAGTACATAAAAATGCTTATATTAAAAATAGAATGAACATCTTTGCATATTGGTAAATATCTTTAAGTTTGGAATCAGTAGTCCCCAAGTACTGTCTCTGTCATTTAATGAGTGATACCCCCTAATCTCAGTCTCCTTATTTAACTAGTAATTTAATAGTATCCATATTAGAAAATTTGTTAGGGTTTATTGAAGTATTAAATATAAGTTATTTTGTGCAATGCCTGTGGTATTATGAGCACTTTGTCAGTGTTAAATTTAAGGTAAATGGGAATAATGTTTTACTTAGGATTTTATTTGCAATTGCAAAGTAATACTGTCACTATTTATAAACAGCAGTTTACATCCAGTGCTGTTACCTTCAGATGTATTTGACCAACCACAACCTGTAGGTAATAAGAAAATTGAATTTCATTTATCTACTGACATGCCATCCGCATTTAAGAAAGATCTAGAAAAAGAACAAAATCGTGAAGAACAAAATTATGGTAAGCACATTCTAGTTCTCTAATATGCTGTGTAAAAATTCTTCTCATTCTGCTTTTTGTGTTAGAATTAAATGTTTAAAATACGCAGTTAACCTTCCTTAGTGTCATGGAGTATTATCCATTTTGAACTTTTTCATATAACTAAAATTAATGCTTAATGACGAAACCATCACTGTTGCCTTTTGCTAGTAATGAACTTTAGGGTGAAATTGAGTCTTGTTTTTGCTGATGTTTACACGAAAAATACAATAGAACAGTTCTTCTACTCTTATATTTTCATTGTTAGATGTGATGTTCTGTGGTTTTATTAGTATATTTGAATTACTGATTAGGAAACAAGCAGTGTGACTATTATGTGTATTGATTTCATGTGAATATTTTTTTATCCAAAAGACATGGAAGATTAATCACTAAGATACTTAAGTTTAAAAGACAATTTATTAAAATTACAGATATTGTTTATTGTAGACATTAACTTGATACTATCTATAGTGGCATTCCTTTGTTCTTTAATTTTAATTTCATAAGTAATACAGACTTACAGAAAAGGTAATCAAAACAGGAGCATATAAAGTAAAAATTTAAAAAATTTTACCATCTCAAACCCCACTGTCCCCTATCTCACTACCATTGTTAATAGTTAGGAATATAGCTATTCTTCCAGACCTTATCCTATATATGTGTAAACACATTTTCTCCTCTTGTTTTAAATGGGCATCATGTTTTATGTAGTGTTTGCCATTGACTTAATATTGACTTATGAAAAGCATACAGCCTAGCAGGCTCTATGCTGGGCACTAAAGGACAAGTTAGATGTGGTCTCTGATCTTTAGGAGTTTAAAGTATAGTGGGAGTAGCTTACTGTATCAATATAAAAATTTTACCTTATTTTTTTATGGCTGGATAATACTACATAGTACAGTTATATGAATCTTTAATCATGCTCTGTTGATAGAAGTTGAGGTTGTTCCTGTTTTTACTCTCTGAGAAACTACTGGAACATACATTTTTGCACATGTATCTTTGAGCATTTGTGTGAATATGCAATCAGAGTTCCAGTAAGTGTTGCAAATGTAGTGAGTGGAAAAACTGATTTTAATTCCTGTCTTTTCCAAGATTAGTGAGAAGGCATTGCCTTTTCAGATAGTTGCTTTTATTATTATTATTATTATTATTATTATTATTATGGAGAATAGAATATATTTAACAGTTAGACTTGATTTGTAACTTCACAATATTTCAATGTATGGTATGAGACCTCCATTTGTACTCTTGCCCTGCTGGCATTAGGGGTGGGCTTGGGTCAGCCATTGGGTCATAATCTCCACCAGAGAGGCAGCATGTGCAGAACCCCTGCCCCAGAGCACAGTGCCTATCACAGAAGAGCAGATGATAAATATTGGCTGTGAGAAACAAACAAGATGATCCAAGTAAAATAAAATGCTTGGCATGGTGCAAATGTCTAAAAATTAGCTATTGTTTGTTGAATAAGTGAACAGTAGGTAGGGCACAGATAAGCTCCTTTTTTGTTTCAATATTTATATTTTTCTTTTTGTATATTTTTCTCTCTTATTTCATGTTAGTCCCCAGACACACATTTTTACTTTTTTAAGCTTAATTTACTCAGGGGTGTAGACCAGTATGAGAGGATGACAGTCCTCCCATTTTACATCAGTGTCAATTAGTAACGTTGAAGTAACAGGAGAAGCAGTCTTAAGTTTTTCTCTTATTGATACTTTCAGGCCACCAGAGATCTGTTTGTATAACAGTTTTTCAACATTATAAAGAGACTTTTTATAATTCTAAGTTTAGCATGTTCTTTGCATCATTTTCATAGCTCTTTAGTTTTTTGCTTGTTTTTTGGTAGTATGACTAGAATTTTTCTAGTGAATAACCCTATCCTTACTGTGCCAGTTTAATTTTTGATGAAGCTAAAATTCATGTTTTGTAAATGAAATCCATTATGTTGCTATCTAAAATTAAAAATTTGCGGTGTTTTTGAATTTTCCTAATTGAGTAATTTCTTTAGTGTGAATACTTGTTTTTCTTCACTTCGTATAGGTTCTAAGAGCAGAATTGACTTCTTTTTGGTGGGAGGGTGGGGAAAGGCTTAATGAAGCTTTTTGGTATCCTCAAATTACCATTTGTCTTATGATTTCAGGATATATGCTGATCTTAATCTTTTAATCACCTTCAATAAGATTGAAGATTGAAGGCTGTTTCATAATATTCTAGTGTAGCACTATGAAGTCTTCAAACCCACTGTATGAATAATCTTGAATGAGCACATTCCATTACGGGATGCCTTTGATAATTAATTTATTTAATGAACTACAAATTTATTTCATATAATTATTAATAGTTCAAAGTGGATAGGTTAAACAGAATACTTACTATTGACCCCCCCAACACATATTCTGCCTATCTTGCCCAATGCATTTTATCTTTTTGAGGTGCCCCTCTGGCACCTCAGACTAAATACGTTAAAAATGAATTCATTTTCTTTCCACTTTGCAGGCCCTGTAAGTACACCCACCAAACAACCATTTGGCTGTTTAGCTATTGTCTGGCTGTACTCATGTTACAGTGGCAGAGTTTAATAGCCATGACAGAAACCATATGGCCTGCAACGCCTAAAATATTTGCATTTTGAACCTTTGCAGAAAAAGTTTTCCTACCCGTTCTAAAGCATTGAGAAGAACACTAAAGAGTTTTAGTTCCAAAAGATATCTTAAAGACTAAAAATGGAAAACAAAACCTGTTTTGAAGGGTAGGAATTTTTAATGGCTGATGTTAATGTTAACTTTTAGATTTACCTGCTCCTGAAAGTGATGCACCCAATGTAGGTTTTGGAAAAATCTTCCCTAAACCTAATTTGAACACCACAGAAGAGATTAAAGAGGACTGTGATGAAATGCCGTCAGAATGTATTTCTAGAAGGGAGTTGGAAAAAGGCAGAATTTCTAGAGAAGGTAATTTCATGAAATAAAACCAGTGCTTATTCTGTGTTTTTGATGTGTCAGAAACAACAAATCTCTTCGTGTTCTTTACCTTAATTAAAGGATATATATCAAAACATCTTTCCAGTTAATGTTTTTAATCACTGCTTTTGGTTTTAATACCCATATTTTGTAGGGAGGAAAGTATCTCTCGGTATAGTGTTTTCAGTCTGTGACTGATAAAATATTTTTGTTTTCATTCCTAAAACTTTTTATGTAACATTTAAAAAAATTAAGGGGCCTGTGGTCTGGAGTTTTGTATTCCAGATACAGTGGATATATCATTACAATTCTGTGTTTGAGATGAATGCAAAGCAGTTGTTTAAAAAAAAAAAAATTTCAGTTACTTGGTAATTAAAAGTCTGTGTTTAAGGATTTTATATCCTAACATGATAGTTTTCTTACTTCTTTCTTACTTCTAAAGAATTTAGAAATTTCTTTCTTTCTTTCTTCTAAAGAAAAATAAAGAATTTTTCCTGCTTTTAGTACATTTTGGGAAATTATTTAGGGGTTTTAGATTGACATGTAGCATGTTATAATATTTCCTATAATAATGGGAAATAAACTTCCAACCAGCATTTTTGCATAGAACACCTGTTGTCAGGAACTGATTATTGATACTAGGAGTGGTGGTAGAAACCAGTTTGTATGAATTACTTGATTAGGTTTGAGTAATTCATTCTTACATCTGACTGTGTTGGTGCCTAGTGGTTTGGGAAATTGACTTAAAGCAAGACAATGACACAAATGGTTGATAACCTATTTATTTGCTTCAATCTTTTTTTAATAAGGTAACTTTATCGTAAAGGAGCTTCAATAGTAGATATTTTATTGGACAAGTTTTATTCTAGATGGCCTGAAATTTTTAAGCTTATTTTCGTATTATCAATTCTGATTTTTAATGAGTATTTTTATTAATAACATTGCTATTAATGGTTATGGTTTTGACATTTTCATAATGCTTCTTCTGTCTATTTAACACTTGTATTTGAATGTTGTTATAGTTTTTTGTTGAGAAAAGTAATGAAAATATCCTAATGTATGTCCTTTTGTTTTGCTTTTAATAAGAAATGGAAACACTTTCAGTTTTCAGAAGTTACGAACCTGGTGAACCAAACTGTAGAATTTATGTAAAGAATTTAGCTAAACATGTTCAAGAAAAGGTAAATAGAAATTTGTAAATTGACTTTATTGTTTTACTTTTTTTTTTTCCCTGAACCTGCTTACTTGTCTTTTTCTTATTAAAATTCTAGGACCTTAAATTTATTTTTGGGAGATATGTTGACTTTTCCTCAGAAACACAACGGATAATGTAAGTGGGAGTCATATTCTCAAATTATGTTTTGTTTTTATCTGTTACAAATTAACCTTTTTTTAATCCCAGCACTTTCCCTTTAGAGATAGAAATTATAGGAAGAAATGCTCTCATGTTGCATAATTTTTAGATATCTAAAGCAGTAGTCAGCAGAATTCTTCATAAATGGGCAGATAGAAACATTTTATATTTTTATTTTATTACAGGCCATACAGTGTCTGTTGGAGCTACTCAGTTCTATCTTTGTAGCATGTAAGCAGGCCTAAACAATACACACACTAATATTTATGACTGAGTTCCAATATACAGACAGCATAAATTCCAGCCTTAATCCCCAGCTCTAAAGCAGTGATTTTCAAACTTTAACCTGCATAAGAATCACCTGAAGAGCTTAGTAACAGCGTTTGCTGGGTCCATCGAAGTTGAGGTAGGGCCTATGATTTTGTATTGATAAGAAGCTCATGGATGATGCCAAATCTATTGGTCCAAAGACTACACTTTGAGAACAGCTGCATTAATGATTCATTCAGGAGTATATATAGCAGTCCGGCAAAATTTTTCAGATTCTTAACCTTGGCAGTAACTTCCCTTCTTTTAATTAGTCTGCATTAAGCAAGGCTCCCAATTTTGTGAGAGCAAAAGAGGGATAGGACTTGAAAATGATATAAAAGCTAATGTTTCAAGTTAGAAATTCATTCTTTAAAATGCCATAATTAGTTAGTTCCAAAGTGTATAAGACCCTCGGCCATATAAGTTAGAAGTAGGGAAAAGTAGAAAAGGTAAAGAGTTAAGACTTTGGAGGTAAAATGGAGGATAACTGGAACTGAGTTTTATTTTAATCTTTTGATGTCTTATCTGGCCTGTTTATACTCATTAGTGGCAGATATCTTTTCTTACCAGTATACCAAAAGTTTCTTTTGCTACGCGTGCAAAATACTGGTCCTTTTTCTTGTTGCTACCTTTGAATCATGATTATAAGAAACAGAAAAAAAATATATGTATGAAATGTTTCATGTACATAAATATTTGTATACACTCATTTCCTCTATTTTTAGTGTTGCTGTAATTAAAATTTGTGGGGGAAAATAATTCTATATGGAAAAAGCTATATACATCAAAATGATAAATTAATAATTGCTTTTCGTGGGAGTAATTGTGTGATTTTAAAAAGTCACTGCATTTTTTAATGCTCTGTATAGACTATTGCAATTGTAGGAAGTACTTTAGTTGTAAATTATGGTCTGGTTTTTCTGATTTTTGAATATCATTTTCAAAAATGTTGAAAAATGAACATGTTATGGAATAATAGGACATTACACTTGGAATAAAAAAATCTGGTTTGTGTTTCTACTCTAATTTTAGCTGTCTTTATGACTTTGAAGAAGTCACGCATTCTCTGTAGACGTCACCTGTAAAATGATTTTGACTAGATCAGTAAGGTCATTTCCTACTCTGAAGCTCTGTGTCACTTTTCTGTGGTTCCTCTGAGCCTTTCTATTCTTCGTTATATAGTTGTTTTTTTTGTCACTTGAGTAGATAGTATTGAGTTGGCTGTATGAAATTTTTTTAAACATAGAGATAGGAAATAAAAATTTAAGTGTTTTTAGAGTTCCTAGTATTATGATTTTTAAATTACATAAATACACTTAACAGAGCTTTAGAAGGATAGATATAAACTCATTATCAAACTTACTTTGAATCAGTTTTAGAACAGTATACAAAACATAATTTTAGAAAGTCCAAGTAATGTTCCAGACAGTATAGTCATTTTTACTCTGAAATGGCAACATTTTAAATGTTCAACACATTTCTATTCCCGTGATCAAAATTGTTTGATATTCTTCAAATCAAAACCGCTTTTTCTTCCTTGACTCCTAGGTTTGATATACGTTTGATGAAAGAAGGTCGCATGAAAGGACAAGCTTTCATTGGACTTCCAAATGAAAAAGCAGCAGCAAAAGCCTTAAAGGAAGCTAATGGATATGTTCTTTTTGGAAAACCTATGGTGGTTGTATCCTTTAAATAATCCATTCCAAAGACAATGTGTTTTTTAGTAGAAGGGTATACTTGAAACTTTTTTTTTTTTAAGATTTTATTCATTTATTTGAGATAGAGCATAAACAGAACTGGGGCGGGGGCAAAGTGAGAGGGAGAAGCAGACTTTCTGCTGAGCAGGGAGCCCGATACAGGGCTTGTTTCCAGAACCCTGGGATCATGACCTGAGCCGAAGGCAGGCACTTAACTTACTGAGCCACCCAGGCGCCCCTTGAAACTAATTTTTAAGTTATCCTTTAGAAATCTCAATAGCTGGTATTCTAGCTTACTCAGTTATAAACATACTTAGCTGAGTCATATGGGTAGTTAGATTTTTATTGGAAAATAAAGGAACCTCAGTAGCATGAGGTTATTATAATTTAGCCATGTCTAAACATTTCATTTATACAGATCAGAAGTACATTTTTAGGCTAAGCCTAAAACACTAAAGTATCTACAAATACACTTGGAGTCATTAAAAAAAGATATGATTCATTGTAGTTTTACTCTTTTATGTTTTATTATAGATATTATAATTCATATTTCTATTTGAAAATTTTAACCAAAATATATCACTGATTAAACATTCTGCTTTTAGTAGTTAATGCAGTTTGCAAACTAGAAATCAGTGGGATAGATGAAGGTCTAGGTGTAAAAAATATAAAGAAAAGGTAAATTTTTTACTTCTGCAAATCATGGGCAGCAGGTAGGAGGTACTCAAAAATAAAAAAATATATTTGACAAATAGCCGAGAGTAGGAAGACAAGTATAAGAGATACATTTTAAAAACTGTACTTCTGCCCTACATTAGGAAGTTTTTAGTAATTATTTAAGACTACTGTCCTTTTGTGAAAGAAACCTTAATTTTTAAATATTAGCAGTTTGCTCGATCTGCTAGACCAAAACAAGATTCTAAAGAAGGAAAAAGGAAGTGTTAAAAATTAATGAAGGTAAGTGTGGATACAACATAATAAAAGAACAAGACTTTCTTGAGATAAAATGAAGTATAAAAGCCTCCTAGAGTGATAATTCAGGTATTTCCTAAGGTTTTTAAAGGATAATTGATCAGTTGATCCATCTATCCATCCATGTCTCTATCACTCTCTGTGTGTCACTGTCTATGCAGTTAATTCTCAATAAATTTCAAAATTATAACTACAGAATAAAGCCCATGTGTATGTAAAATTAAGTTTGGAGAATGAGTTTATGAGGGGAATATGTCTTTGTCTTAAAACTTTTCAACCTACAGGAAAGCAGTGGTTCTTAAACTTTAACATGTATTACAGTCACCTGAAGGGCTGATAAAACAGCTAGGCTTCCTTCACCCTCATCCAGAGATTCTGATTCAGTAGGCCTGGAGTAGGAGCCTTGTATAGTCTACCATGCCAGTTTTCCTGTGCTGAAACTGGGAAAGGGTCCACCAAGCCAAGACCAGTTGGTCACTCTTAATGGGGCCTAAGAATTTGCATTACTGATTGCACATGTCACAGAAATATTTACATATTTTTTGTGGAGTGAAATCTTTTGCCTTTCAAACAAGTAATTTTAATGCATACTTAAGTAATTTAATGAATAAAAATGATAGAATTAACCATTTTAAACTTCAAAGTTTGTGTTATATTGATTTAAGAAACCTGAGTGGAAATACATTCTTTTTGTTCTATTTTAAATCTTTCTGCCTTTATATTATATTATATATATATAGTTATATATAGTTATATATATTATATATAGCTCAGTCAACTTGTGTTAAGCTGAAAAAATAATATAACTAAATAAGGAAAAATTTTGTTTAATGTTTATTCTTTTTGTGAAATGCCTTGAATATTTGAATTTTGTGACGTATCTATACTGATATAGTCAGAATTATTACAAATACCTTAGTGGAACGGTTAAAAATTAACAATTTTCAGTGTGTGTTTGAAAAAATCATTTATTTATAAATCTAATGTGAGAACTGAGAAAAAAATTAAATTGCATTCTGCTGTTCTTCTTTAGAAGCATTCCTGCGTAAATACTGCTGTATTACTGTCATACAAAGTGTATCCTTTCTTGTTGTATCCTTTTTGGGGCAGTTTTCTGTTTTTCCTAGAAATGTTTTGTCCCTCCCCTACCCATTGATTCAGATTAAGCAATAGTTTTTTTTCTAATTTATTCAAATGAGATATTTCTAAAATTACCAATGTTGATTGGACAAATCACTTATGTGTTTTTTAGATCTGTTGCTGAATTTTCTCTGCTGTTCTTGAGGTTATGTAATTTTTCCAGGGAAAGTTAGTGAATCAGGTCAACTTACTTACTTGGAGAATGTATGCATCTGCTTCAACACAGAATTTAGTCTTGTTTCTTATATTTATGTATTTCCTAAACCTAATTCAGTAACATATAATTTCTGTTTTATGATGTATCTGGTTTAGGTGTTCTATATAACGTATTATAAAATTTGGGGAAAGGATTTTTTTTCTTTTAAAAAAGTATTTATTGAAAATTAAAATAACTGAATTTCTTTGTAAATTCCAAGAGTAGCAGACCTCATATCTGAGGTTTTATTATTGATACCTCCTTTGAAATAGGTAGCCAGTAGAAGTATTTTTTTTTTTTCCTCTTTCTTTCTCTAAACAAAACAAAAGGAATGAGAAAAGAGGAACAGAGGGAAGAAGACATAATGTTGACTCAGGGTAGCACCTTAAGTGAAAAGAAACAATCTGGTAGGTATATGTAGTAACAGTGGTTTCCAGACAGGTTGATGACCAGAATTACCTAAAACAGTGGTTCTTAATCTTGGCCACATTTTGGAATCACCTGGGAAACTTAAAAAAATCTGATGAAGAAAAAAAAAAGGCTAAAATGTACTGATGCCTGGGTTTCTCCCCATTTTGATTTAATTGGACTGGTGCAGCATAGATACTGGAATTTTTCAGATCTCCTAATGTGTGACCAAGATTGAGAACCACTGAAGAAGGATTTTTACATTTAAAGATTCCTGGACTCTCTCCTAAAACTAATAAACCAGAATTTCTGGAAATGGGACCAAGAATCTAATTTCAAAAGGTGTCTTTAGTAGTACCAAGGGCTGACCAGTTTGGATACTAATTTGTTAGATTAAAATGGTTAGGTGCTTATACCAACCTAGCCATCCAACCTTCTGTAAGTAGGAAAATCAAGAATTGGAGCCTCTGCATGTCTTGCAAATCCTGCTCTTGCTAGTACTAGGAAAACAATTCAAAATTCTGTTAATAATTATTATCATTCAAGAGTACAAAAAATTAGAGAAATTGAAGTTGCTGTTTTTGTAGAGACAGTTAAAATGTTTAATGTTATAAATCACAGTTTCTATATCAGCTGTTTATTTAGACAATTAAAAATTTGTAGTACTGACATGATTCACTAATTTTCTAAATATGAATGTGTTTTAAAATAACTAAAAACTAATGGACTTTTATAATCATAATTATTTTTAATGAACTCTTATGGTGTTTTAGGTTCCTTTTGATTCCATGTCTTCCAACTGCTTTCCAACTTTAAGGAGAAGAAATTGACACCTGGGGTATGGAACTGTGCGTAACAGCTTTTAAAGTATATTTAAAAATTAAATCTATATGCATTTAAATCAGTTTATTGGAGATATATTACATGTATTTTAATCATTTTCCTCATATATAATAAATTATTTTCTTTCCAATAAAATAATGTTCTTAATTTTTTTATCTTGTTTAATACATTTGGAAAGTGTAATTTGATAATTACATAAAATTTTGAAGGTAATTTTACAATACTAAATAGAAATTCTCTTTTATGATTACAGATACTGCCCTCTGCCCTTTTTTTCATTCTTACCTGGATACCAATGCAGTTAAACATACTTTTTTATAGTAATAGTATTTCTTATTTCTTGTAATTATTTTAGCAGTGGTTTTGTTTGTCTGGCTATGACTTGTTTGTTTTTGTTGTTTATTTTGGGTTTTTTTAGTAGTGGGGGATTTTCCCCACTTTAGGAAATTTGTATTCTTGCCCTAATTTAGTCTTATTTTGGTGCCCTCAAATCGATTAGATTATCACGTAAGGGTGTAATGTTTCCCATACAAAAGTATTGTGTTATCTTAGTGAAATTAGCTTCAGCTATGTGTTAATAAGAAAATTTTGCTATATTTAATTTGTTCTTATTACTGTGAGTATATAATAATAACTTCACCAGAATCAATGCCCAGAGACATGGTCTTTGTTGGAATGCTTTTGTGAATCACAGCTTTTGTCTCCTAGCATTGTGAAATAATGAAAATGGGAATTTTAAAGATAGGAATTAGAAGTATGGAGAAGTGAACCCCAGAACATGCTCATTTTTAGATGTCAGGTATATAGAGAATAGGTAGAAACCAAACAAAATATCTCAGGTAGGAAGGGGTGGTGAAATATATCAGATCTGTTCTTGACAGATCTCTCCTTGACAAACTGATCTGATGAATGAAAGAAATGAGAGGAGGTATTAAAGAGAATGGTAGAGAGGAATTTAATATAGTGAGAACTGAAGACAACCGTGATAGAGAGTCTTGCTCTCAGGGGGATAGAGAAATGGGCTGTTAATGCAGGGGGGGAATAGTATCAAGAAGGGTTTTGATTTTGTTCTGTTTTATAAAGATTGAAGATATAGCAGGTTTGTATGGACTAATCCAGTAGGACTAACCCAGCAGAGGAAAAAACAAATACGGTGCACGAAGGAGAGGGATATTGTTGGAGATATAGATATGGTATGCAAATAGAAGAGTTAGTTTTAAAGATGGGCGTGTAAATGGCTCATTAATAGCAGGGAGAAAGGACTGATTGTGTAGGCCTAGATGTTTGTAGTTTGCTGGATATATAGGAGGAGCATGTAAAAGTTGTATGATAGTTTTTCCGTGAAATAGGAAGCAAGGTCGCAGAGGGAAAGAGTATTGGATTGAGGAAAGAAAAGAAGGTGTAAAATAGACACTTAGGAAAGTGGCAGAGTGAATAGATTCTTAGAAGGATGGCTAGACAGTACTTAAAGTGGTCAGTTGAAGTCTGTTAATTTAAGTGAGACTAGTCAAATGATTTTGTGTTTTCCTCCAATGATGTTTAGCCTCGGTGCCATCGAGTAGACAAGAGTTGAATTTAATCAAAGTTGGAATTTTCCTAGATGAATACAACAAAGTGAGAGGAAGGAAAAGGTGTTGATATACTCAAGGGAATAATTATAAAGAAAAGACATAAAAAAAGATCTGGGTAAAGAGCAAAGTGAGAAAATGAAGGTTGAGAAACAATGGAAAAATGGTGTGATCAATTATATATAGATTGCAGTATGATTGAAAATCTGTTGGAGTTATTTACTAGAGGTAGGAAGTAGAAATTTGAGAGGTCCAAATAAGAGAATAATGTGACAAATTGAAAAAGGCAGAGAGAATACAGTAATTAGTGTCTATAAGTTCTAGGATGTGAACATGGTAGTTAAGTGAAAACAGGGTCATGGAAAAGAGATGAATTAAAAAAATTGAGAAACTTGAGTATGAAAAGGATCATCTAAGTGGATTTTGAAATTATTAAGAATTATGACAGGAATAGTGAACCAAGATCTAAATAAAATTATCTCTTAGAACATATAATTCTGTTAGATATGGAAAAAGCAATATTTAAAAAAAATCATTTTATAAAACTCTACAATGACAGGAAATTCAGACTAATTTACTGAAAACTAGTGTATTACAGTGGTTTTATAGGTGTAGATTCTCACATCAAATCTTGTTTCTGAGGTTTAATTGCTTTATCACCTTGGGCAGGTTCTATCAGTTTCCATGGAGATAATCAATACTTACCGTAGGGTTGTTGTAAAGATGATTTGGTGAATATAAAATACTTAAAACAAGTCTGGGGTGTGTGTGTAGTCAAGTTCTCAATAAATATTAGCTCTTGTAGTGGTTGTGGTGGTTCTTAACTCACACCAATTCCAGGTGACATAAAGATTTTGATGTCTTAGACAAGACTTCAATCATCTTTCCGCTGTGATGACCCATACTTCTTTTGCTTCTGAGTGAGGAAAAAATTGCCTGGATTATTCAAAGTTCTTCTAGCTGGTCTAAGAATTAAATTGACATGAGACATAATTCATAATTTCTTAACCTTAAGCTAGCTTTAATAGTGAATATTTTCCCAGTTCACGTGAACTTGAAATTCATTTGGATTGAGTTTCTTTTTTATTTTTGAGAATTTTTATGAATGCAAAACTTAAATAAGTGCTTAATTTTCTATAAGCCAATCAAATAGAGCTCTTTTACAAAATCATTTGAGCAATTCTAACTGGAAAATGGCATATATCCACAATAGACACATACTGAATGATGGAGAAAACTTACCATTATTAATATTTGAGGAGAAAGGGACAAGAGAACCCTTTTGCAGTTTGTATTTTTAAAAAATATCTACTTCTTTTTTTCCTTTACTCAGGCAATTGGCTGTGTGTACACTTCAGAGTTAACAAGATTTATAACTTTAAGGGACAAAGAATGTAAGGTTTGTTTTTTTTTTTTCCCTAAGAATTATAGGGTAATTGCTATTTAAATTTACCTTCCTTTTCTTAAGTACAGGACAATTCTGTTTCAGTATCCTGATTTTTTATAATACCTATAAGCATTTTGAGAGGAATAGGTGAGGTTTTGGGATTGGTAGAGATGGTGGGGGTTGCTTCTAGAGTTGCATTTCTGGTTTTGTAGAGATTTGCCAGGCAAAGTTGTTGCTAATTCCCAGAAAGAACTGAATTACAGCCTGAATATCAAGATATTGATCGGCCTTTTTAACTAAACTTGTCTCCTTAGATCTGGGAGATTTCCACCTAAAGTGGGAATCAGAAGATTTATATCTTTGTAAAAAAAAAAAAAGAAGTCTGTATAAATCATGTTAACTAAAGCCTTCTTTCTTCACAATTCAATCTTGGCTTCTGTTAGCCCCTGAATATCAGCCTTCTGCTGCTGTTCATTTGTAGGAGGGCCAGGAAAAATTATGTGTGTCTTTTTTAGTGGGGAGGATGTGAATCTTTCCAATTTCTCTTTAAATTTGGTGGGATCTTCCGAAAGTGATGGTAAATTTGGGCTTTATAAGTTATAAGATTTGCTGCTATTCAAGGGCATGAAATTTTTTCCCTCCTGGGTTTGGGGTGGGGGGGTGGGAATCCAGGGTATATCTGCAAAGGACATGGCATAAAAATGCCTAAAGCTGGCAGAGCCTGATTGTAGAGCTTTAGAAAGTAGGAGTTGTAAGAAATAGCCAAGTGACATAATAAAAAAAAAAAAAAATAGCAAAGTGAGCCCTATCACTTGTCTTCAGTGCTTCTGTTAAATTCACTTCATGGGTTTTAGCATTTATATGAGTAACGTATATACACTGACTCTGGAGTTTAGGCTGCAGTGCTCTGTGTAAATCTTAAAAGGAAGGGTAAGTTAAAACAGGCAGATGGAGCTGGTTTTTAAGAAGGGGAATTTACGTTGGATGTGGACATCAATTTTTGTCTTAAGTCTAACTTCTTTCACCTTGTTAAGGGAGTCCCTAAGTCCCTACCCCCAGTAAGTATACTAATAAGACAACTGAGAGCTCTGTATAAGGATTTTATTTTCCTTTAAAATGTAGCCAATTTAAAAGATTTAATGTCTGACCGTTGATGAGTAGGCTCTTACTAATATTAATAGCAACTCAAACCAAAAAGCCTTTTTTTTTTTGGAAAGACCCAGGGGCAATTTCTAGGCTTAGACCATGGGTGCAAGAGGCATCCCTGGAGAGGGTATAGATGATACAGTCCCCATCATCAGCAAAGTTTACTCCCAAAAATAGTCTGAGAAAACAAATGCCTTTGTTACACAGGCAGTAAGGATGCTTTAGTGAGAACAGTGTCTTTGATCACCCACAAAAACCTGAATTGCCTCCAGTTGACAGACCTACTAATCTGTGACACCAGGCAGGTGCTACTGGAATGGGACATTTCAGCACTAACAAGCAACAAAGGTTAAGAGCACAGAAGTCTCTTATGGACTGGGACCTCTTATGACTTACTTTCTGAGGGCTGTCATGGCTACACAGAGAGTCTGCTAGCAACTTTATGTCTCAGAACCCCACTCTTATTTGGCTACCAAGGTGTACCCCAGTAAGTGCATTGTCTGCATGGTGGAGACCAGAGAAAATCAAGTTCTCAAGACAAAAGGAAAAACCTTATCCAGATTTTATGTGTGGGACCCATAGCAAAGTTTGTCGAAAATATGCCCATCTGATAAGAACTATGAACTCAACAGTCTATAATGTTAGTTTGAATAGCAGGCTTATAAGGGCCTGTGCTGGTATTTCCCTCTAGGAATTCCCTTTTATAACAACACAAAAGACAAAAATAGTGGCCATTTCTGGGGAGGAAATGGATTAATAAAACCAAGAGTACTCTATTGAATTTATCAGAGATGCTGAGCCCATGAGTATTTCCAAAAATACTTTCCTGCTAATGCTAAATTTAGAAAGAAAAAGGACTCTCCCCACTCTTGTTCCACCAGATCTTGCAGACAGATTCCAGGAGGCTGACATGGTAAAATCTTACTTTTGCTAGCTGTTTATCAGATGTCCCAGAATTTCTCAGCTACAGCAGTCCCAGGGTGAACAATATTTAGCCAGTTGAAATTTATCCTGCCAACTAGCCAACTGTTGGG